GAGACTTGGCTGACACTGTCACTCGGCTTGACAGGCTCGTCAAACTTGCTAGAGTGTTTCGAGACGCGAGACCCAGCGGCCTTCGAGGCATGGGACTTGTGGGAGTAGGATGAGCGCCGTGAATCATCCACTTGGCTGATCGAATCGTCAGGAGTCACGTTGCTCCGAACATCGAGGTCGATAACACTCTCTGGGAGAGGCACTTCGCGGGCCGAGACACCCGATTTAGCCCCGCTACGGTAGGAAGCAAGGGACCCGATGGAGGAGCCCTCCGGAATAGGGGCTTGGCGTGCAGAGCGAACGGATGAGGCTGTGCTCCCTGGCGGGAGAGTGCGGGGTGTAGAGTGGTGGGAGTGAGATGACCGGTGAGAGCTATGGTGGGATTCTTGATAATTGCCCTTGGAGGGTTTGATGGTCGACGCCGAATAGACGCTTTCCCGATCCATCGCCCGCGACTTATCGGGAAAACTGCTAATCAAAGTGCTTTCATAGCCTCGAGATTGCGAGTCCGGCTGCCCATACTCGATTGCGCGGAGGGGAATGTCCCGGGTACTGTAAACGCTTCCTTCCGAGGCCCGGCGCCCGTTCTCATCGAGATACACACTGCCGCCGCTGCCGCGGGGAGCAAACTCCGTTCCTTCATAGATAGTGCTTGCACGCGGGTTCTTCGACGTCACGCTACGAGTGAGCATCGGCCGGCCATCAGACCGAGCGGAGTAAGTACTCCGGGCTGGGCCTGCCTCGATGGCCTTGAAGTTGGGATACTCTTGCGTCTGAGAAGAGGCTTGGGACGGGGAGAGAAGCTGAGCAATATCCCTAGGAGAAAACTGGGAAGGCGCGGAGTTGCTTTCAGTGGACTCAGTCGAGTCGCCTTTCGCGATGGCATAAGCCAAGGCCGCACCCGCTGCGGCTCCGATGAGAGTGCCAACAATCGTCTTGGCCGTTTTGTCATTGTCTGTCTTCTGCGTCGTATGTGTCGTGTGGTGTACAATGTAGGTCGGCGATGGAGCTGGTTGAACTTCGCGCGGCGCCTGGTAATGATCCCGACTCACCATTGACGGGGCGCCTCGCTCGAGAGGCACCGCTCTCCCGATGGCAGTATTTGTCTTCGACACGTACGACCGAGCTTCTGACCGGGCTTCCGATCGAGGCGGGGCAATACTTTCGGTTTTGACTGAGCTGGCTCTGCTGCTCGCCTTCGAGACGACAGATCCGTTCTCCAACAAGGCCAGAGCTGGCCGGCTGATCTCCGACTTGACTACTGACTTGACCTCGGACCTAGCCGAGGAACTGCTGGGTCGGTAGACAGCCTCAATACTATTACCGTCAAAGTCGATCACCGCGGCGCTGTAGTAGCCGGACTCTGAGTCGCGCATTTTGGGTTCTCCGTGAATCTTGCCACCGGCCTTGAGCGCACTAATGAAGAATGTTCCCACTGCATCCTTGGAGGTTGCTGGGAAGGCGACATGTGCTGCACCGGCTGGAACTCTGTAGAGCTTCGTTAGTCGTCGCCCAACGCTTAACATGGTGCATTAGTCAATAATTTACCCTGGCTTCTGTTCGGTTATCCAGAAATCAGCGGGCTCGCCCTGCTTCTGACCGAAACCAATGTAGTCATCATGGCGGCCAATAAATTGATAGCCGAGCGGTTGTAAGCAGGAAAGGAAGAAGGATGTGGAGGTTGGAAGGTGGGAAACGGTCAAGGTAAGATGTGAAAGAGGCATGATGGCGGTTATTGGCTCACTGGAGGTAATTCTCCGTGAGCATCCAAGGGCACAAGTGTTGGGATTGGTTGGTCTCCGGAAAGCTTGCGAAGTAAGGGGGGGTTGAGACCCAAGTATATACAACGATGGAGTGCCGGTTCCGCAGTAAGAGGAATTCCTGGGTGAGGTGACTGCAGCGTTGACGTTTAAGTTGACGTTTAGTCAAGTGATGTGAAGAAGGATTATATACACGCAGCCGGGAGAAATTGAGGTAGATGAGATCAAGAGGGGGAAGGAGAAACGAAAAGACCAGGCGAGAAGCAGCACTATTTCAAGGCAAAATGTCGGCCCTCCTTTGGGATTCAGAGAGGAATCACGCAGAATGCCCAACTGGGATCCAATCACGAGCGGTCAGAAGCCACTGCCAGACCAAGATAAAATTATCGTGCGAATGAAGCCAGTTGTTCCAACCAAGGGGAATTAGGCCGACTATCGCAGGCAGGCCTACATCCATTCGCATGGCGTCCAGACAATAATGAATGCCCAGTGAGTCCACGAGGCATCAAGTCCCCGTCCGGGCAGCGCTGACTCCTATCGGTAGGTCTTCGCCCCTCGCCAGAGGGCCCATGGCGGATACTCTTTCGGTGAAGCTAGATCGAAGCTAGCGACGAGGGGAAGTTGCTCAGAGGGACCGCCAGGTCACCGTGGGGGAGGCCGGCGGACGGTGCGGTAGGTGGCCCTGCCCATGGCGGACGGGGCGCCTATCAGGAAACGGCGGGGAAAGCGTCGGAGCCAGGTGCAAACAACGGCATCATGTCAGAAAAGAAAGTTGGGTGAGGCGAGAGGGTCCTTGAACGAGGTGGACGATAGGGATTGGCAGGAGTGGAGCATGGCCATGTCCTAAAAGGGAGAGATGCTGAAACCGCGATGAAGGGTGTCGGCCATGCAGGGAGAGCCAACAGCAACCGAACTCAGACGCTGCAGAGAGGGCTCTTCACTCAGTCAGGGCCTGGCATTGGGCCTCCTGATTTCAGAATTAGATCGCCGGGGGGTCACTCAGAACGAGCAAGCAACGAATGACGGTCAGGCATGACAGCAAACAGCCAGTCTGGGGAGCCACTGAGGGGCAGCCTGCTGGATTGATGGTTTGTCTCGTTGGTTCCTGCTTCGGGCACGTCTGCTGCTGCAACTACTAATTAATGGACGGTGTGATCTGACCGCCAGAAAGTGCCCCTCTTTATCGAATTTTCCCGTGATTCGAAATTTCTGCGGCCCAGGTGCCGATGCATGGCGAATCATGCAACAAAGAAGACTATAGATCTAGGCGACTGTCGGAGATTGAAAGTCGGGGGAAGACTCAGGGGAAAGGAGGAAGGCAAAGAGGCAATTTTCCTCACCTCATGGCAAGCCTGGATTGGTACTCCATCCGACTAGAGTACGACCCATGCCGATAAGTACTCATAGAACAAGCTCAGCGCACCGGAGAGTGTGAGGAGGGGTGATCGTCAAAGCATTGACGTGCATATTAAGAACACCTCACAAAGGTCGGCAAACCATGCTGGGGGCCGATATCCGGCAGCTGGCGGCGACAAGGAAGGAAGACAGTCAGTCAGTAATCATCAGGATGTCATAGCCTTTCGATGATTATGGTATGGTCTGAGTGCTCAGGAGTAGGGAGTACTCCATCTCAGACTCCCAGTACGGGAGTCCGTACCTAGACTAGATGGCGGGGCCATGGCGAGGAAAGGCGGGCGATCCACTTGCTGCTGGCATGTGTGCATGCCACGTCGAACAGGCGACTCCGTTTCCAGCCACCAGCGCACCAATCAAATAGGATTGCCAATGATTATTGAGAGGCAACCACGGAATGGAAAAGAAAAAGAAATCAAGGAAGGAAGGGTGACCCGAGTGAGTGGTGTGGGGATGGAGATGTAGTTCAGAATAAGGAGAGAAGGAGAGGAGAGAGAAGGAGAGGAGTGGAAAAGACCGTAGTATGTATGAATGAATACCGCGCGTGAGTAACTGACTACCTCTCCGTACCTATACATACTCTGTACATACTATGAGCAGGAGCATGATTGCCTGATTGGGAAGGAGTGGCCTACCTCAGTGCCTGTAGGTACAGTACAGTACAGTACAGTACACTAAGCACTTACTACTACCAGCACCACTGTCGATGCTTGAGGTATCCTCTGGCAGCCAGCTTGATCCTATCTTCCAGACCCTCATCACCCATTCTTGGTTCTTTCTTGCTTCCCAGTTAATTCACGTCCTTCCTCCCTCCATCCTTCCTTCGTCACCGTGCAGGGGTCTCGAACCATCTTTTCTTCCCTCTCCTACGATTCTTCCTATCTTCGCGAGTAATGACCTCATCCCGACTCAGTCTGACGCCTGCGGATTTCCCTTTACACGCACTCTTCTACTATCTACCGACTACAGCTCATCGGATCGCCGGGACTTCAAGAGCCGATATCAAACCTGCGTGAACTGACGAAGGGATTCGGCCAATACCCAGTCCTTCCCTCCCTTGACTATTCCGTAGATCTCCTGTCATCTAAACTGCAAATTGCAAACCGTTTAGATATTCTTTTCATTTTCTTTTTGATCGCTATAGGTGTGTAGGCAGTTGGTGTCCGTGGATCGTGCGCTGACAGAATTCCACGGGTACAGGACAGGGCTTGGGCTCAGGGAAGTCAAGAGCCACCGGGTTATCCCCAGCTTGGCCACACATTCACAAGTAGGGTACACACATACACACACACACACAGAGAGAGAGAGAGAGAGAGAGGGAGGGAGCGCGCGAGAGAGGCAAGGATAAGTATAGACAATGTCTCACAGGGGATAGTCGAATCGGCGGATCCCCGGTGCAGAAACATGCGTAGAGCGGTTGCGGCCGTGGGTCCGCGGCAGGAATCCCATTGCCGGCCTGCCGACCAGGAAGCTGCCAGAGAAAAGCAAAGCGTTACAAGAGAGGTCCAAGTCATTTGGGATCATTGGGTTGGGTTCGACTATCACATCGGCCTCCATCGGGCGTGTAGCTGATGCGGCAGCGAAGCGAAAAGCACACGGAACAAAGACACCAAGACATGCAAGAGCTAGTAGGCGATGCAAAATCCACCCAGGTCAAAAGTGACACAGCAAGGAATGGCAGGTCTTCGTCCCCGACCGGCACCCGGATAACCTCCAGCTCGCAATCCAACCCCGCATCTACCCCCGCATTCACGCAAGGAAATTCGTCACCTCGTCAATCTGGGGCCAATGTTCGGACAAAGGAAGGGGTCATTCCAGCCGTTGGGCTCAGACGATGTCCCACACCTCCTCAGCGGCATGGCAGAACTTGCTACAGGCCACACTGGCACTCAGACTGTAATTGCTGATACTAATCGTGTCGTCCTTGAAGGAATCGGCAAAGTCATCGTGACCCTTGGCCATGGCACCCACGAAGATACAGACACTCTCCTTGGGGCCGAGGGACTCGATGTAGTCGCGGGTCCGGACGACTGGAGCCTCGAAACTCAGGGTCACTTTACGGCAATTGGGCGGCAGATGATCGGTGATGGGGTTTTTGATGACCTTAAGGAGCTTCTCCTGGGAGTTGGTGGAGCGGATGGACAGACGGTGCAGAAGCTGCACCATCAAACCAGCAAAGCGCTTGAAAGTACGGGGAATGCGGACAGAGGGGTTGACTTCGATCAAGACCCCTTTGGCGGTATGGATGAAGATTTGGAGCTTGCCAGCCTTGTTCACAGGGGAGTCGAGCAGGGTAAGCAGACACTAATGGGGCATACGCGTTAGATGCTTTGCGGTTTTTCGAGAAGGGTCAAAGGGTGGGTAGCAACCTGATGTGTGATGTCTGGACGAGCCTCACTGATATCCCGGTTCATCTTGCGCATGACACCAATATGCTCGTCGCTGTTGAGGAGCGAATACTTCTCGTCGCGACTCGAGCCATTGCGGCCGCTTGAAGCGCGGTAGGTTTCCAAGCTGGCATGGGAAAGGACGACGATCAGACGCTGAGTGTCCTTATCATGAGCGGGAATCGGAACATGTTGCTCTGCGACAAGCTGAGGCAATTCAGGCGGAGGGCAAGACTGGGTCCCTGGCAGTTGATTCGGATTAGCGGCCATACTGGAGATAAAGCGACGGTAGCGTGAAGAGAGAGAAGCGAAAAGACCGAAGACCCGAGTCTTCGATCGAGGGATAGATTGGTAGGGGACAAAAAAACAAAAACAATAGCGATTAGGGTAGTCAAAGAAGGCTGATCAAAGCGATCGGATGATCGTCGGTGCTTTACAGGGACGGTGCTGACAATGATGGCGGTCGGCGCGAAAAAAATGAGGGGAAGAGGGGGGAAAAAGCAAACAGAGATGAGGTGGGAGAGAGAAGGCCAAGGCGGCGGGCGTGTGAACCCTTCCACCACCTAGGAACCAGCCTCAGCCTCGGAAGAGGGAATTGGTATACATACTGGCGCGCTTTCTCTTGCCGGCGTTTTGAAGAGAGGCGTCCGACATGATGACAGTTGAAGTTGAAGAAAGAAAAAATATAACTCTTGACAAAGCGAGGCTGTTTGTCTGTCGGGGGTGCAAGACAGAAAGTATAAATAAGCCGACTGGGGAAAAGAAAAGAACCCGGGATGGAGAGAGGATTTTAAAGCGCAAACGGAGTTTTTTAAAGACACGAGCGCCGGAGTGGATTTCTTCGAAGCACAGCTGACCCGAACGAGTCAAAAGCTGGTGTAGAAATTATTCCCTGCCTGCTGATCTTGATGCAGCCACAATCCCTTCGAAATGGCAGCACGACGGGGGCACGCAAGAGAATTGGCCGGTCAAATAGGTGGGAGAGCAGCAAGAAGGCGAGAATCAAACAATAGCGCCTCTGATGTTATAGAACAATTGTAGTATGAAAATGAGCGGGGAGCGGAGGAGGAGAGGGGGGGAAGGCGAAGTCGTTATACGGTATAACAGGAGACGAGAAAAATTCCGTGAAAGACGGGGGGGGGAGTGGAGGAGTAGAAAAAGAAGAAGTAATAGTTGAAGAAACCGAAAGCGCAACCACAACCGCAACAGCAACAGCAACAGTCGTAGCAGAAGCAATAGCAGGAGGAGTTGAAAGAAAGAAGAAAAAAAAAGGTCACTAAGACAGGCAGAGTTTGGCTTTCCGCCCCAATCAGGAAGCGCCGGTCCAGGCCCCCAGTATGGGTATGATCGGAGACATTCTCCCTCCGATTGTGCTTTTGCTGGCCATTCGGCCGCTGATGTGCTGCTTGATCAATTGCTTAAATCCCGAATGCTCCGAATCGATAGTCCTTCGAAAGTGGTTTTCTGCAAATTGTTATCTATAAGTACCTAAAGTTAGTCCTCTATCTACTGTCTCCATCCTCGGTCGGCGGGATGGCGTGCTACCTACGGAATACAGCACTGTACATGATCTGTTATCGATAGCAGTGGATGGCCTCAGGTACCAATTCAATTTCATGGTCAATTCCTTGTCAGTTCACTATACGGAGAGACCAACCTTACAATATGTGACTACGTGTGCTTTATTCTATGCTAGTTGGCTTGCTACATACTATAGTAAGTGCTAGACTTGACAGCTAACTACTTCAGTAGACTTGCCCATTGCTTCCTTCAGGTCTGACGTGAGAAAGTCGCCAGTTTTCTACTGGAATTCTCCGGTTGTGACAGCTGCCCTGGTCCATGCCCCGGTGCAGGGGGAGCAACCTCGTAACGTGATCATGATTCGAGGTGTAACCCACGAGAAAAAAGTCGGGTGTCAGCCAGTGGAAATTGAGTTGATACTGTTGTCAAGGCAGATATCTCATGTCCGACGAGGGCTTCCCTCCCAGTCCCGGTCGCACCTCGCCCAATTTCCCGTTGGGGTCTCATCCGGACCCCGGTCGCAGCGGCTCCGGTCGAATCCTTCCATGTTTTCCGTTCATCACAGCTGCGGACTCCCGGACTCCCATCTACTCACTCGATCTGCTGTAGATGCTTTTACGGACAGACCTTTGGCTTGAAGACCATGTCGATCAGGCGGGGTAGAGATCCTTATCATGCTGCTCAGCAGTCCAAACCCAGGTGCAGAGACAGTCCAAATCCAAGCTCTAAGCACCCGCCAGACTCTACCCCATAGCCGCGAGGAATGCTGGGGAGGAGGCTGTGGATGAATGAGAAGCGTTCCTACTGCCTACTAGGTTCTGGATTGCAGCTGTTGATGCCGTTCTTCCAAGGCAATTCCATGTGTGCGGTGCAGGTGTGTTGCCTCCGCATCAAGTGAACAGAATCCGAAGGGGTCTGAGGTTACCTTCCCAACAGGTTTTGTTCCCCAGCAAAGAAGAATGTGATCAGTTCACATACCTAGCTATCTCTGCGGGCAAACGCAGGTGGATGGACTGTACGCGAGCTCGCTCCGAACAATCAAGAAAGGTAAGTAGCCAGCAAGGGCGAGGCGGGAAAAGCGAGAAGAGGTTGAACGGATGGTCTCTTAGGCATGCATGCACTGGGCTGGTCGTTTAACATAGTACCTCCTGAATTCTATTCTTTCCAAGAAGAATTCCAGAGGGCATAAATAGGATTCCTGGGGCAAGAAGACACTGGCTCGATGAATTGAGAGCTGAGAAGGGAAAGGAGCTGTCACCCCACAGGAGCTTGATTGGGCCGAGGACGAGTCACATCCTACGGGGTGTTGGTTAACTCTGATTGACTCTTTGCCTGTCTACGTAGTGACATCTATATTCATAGTGGTCGCACTTAGGTCCCAGTATCATGGGACTAAATAGGGGGGAGAAAATGGGTTGGATGGAAGAGGAGAGGGGAGGAAGGGGATGATGGTCTGTGTTGAGTCGGTACTAGGTAGTTTGTTGCCGATAGACAGGAGGTGCGAGGTGACGACGACGATGGTGAAGACGAAGAAATGATGATGATAAGAATAACAATAATATGATGCTGGATGCTGAGTGATGGGTGATGATGATGATGATGATGATGATGATACAACAACAGCAACAGCAACAGCAACAGCAACAGCAACAGCAACAGCAAGCAGGCTGGCCCTGCCTATGAAGACTCAGGAAAGGTAATTACCAGCCTGTTGTAAGGCGAAGAAAAGGCAGATCCCGGGGGCCTATTGTTCCACTTGTAACACCTGCTGTCGGAGAGGCTGGCGGTTGATTGGGTCGAATCAGGGGAGAAAAAGCCGTCTTTTTGACGCATCCTGAGCAACGCCACCGGGAGAATGCCAATGGGATAAGTTATGGGATCTAACCTACAGCATCTACTGTACTGTATGGGAGTACATGTGTAAAGTACTATGGTGATGATGATTATGATATACAATACGATGTTGGAGGAGATTCTAAGCAGTGCTTGTTATAGATTGTTTCTGGATCTTTCGCTGTCGAATACTGAGTAGTACTTGGTGGGTTGATGGAGAATGAATAATGAATGAATAAGTCAATTGAATCAATGATTGAATGGATGGATGGAATGAGGAAAGGCGTTAATTTATTCCTGGTCGTTATTATCTTCTAGAAGTAATATGACCGAAAGGAGACTAGTGACACTCACGCGTTCCCGTCGATCACCGAATAATTATTATTATTGCCATAAGGTATTTCCATCATCATCATCGCCGCCGCCGCCTTCTTCCATCATCGAACTATCTCTTGCTCTTTCCACTTCCCTTGACTTAACCTCGAAAAAAAATTCATTCCTATTTCCCTTCTCTTCATTACCCTACTCTCATTTTGTTGGCCGTTGAGTGAAGTTCATAATCTCTTCATCACTGCCCTCACCTTTGCAAAATACTCGATTCTTCACTGTTCTCCCCTTACTCTCGTCTGAAAGATCCTTCCCCCCCCCTCCCCTCCCTCTACCTTTCTTCCTATAGCTTGCCCCCCCTCCCTCCAACACAAGTGATCCTGCCTCCTTTACAAACGCCATAGATGATTTACCTCGCTTGAGTGTGTCGCTCGACTTAATCCAGGGAGATGCCGTGGACTGTGACAAATTCATTCAAGCGGTGAGCTCCCCTTCTTTGGAAAATGCAATGTCTGCCTTACTGACGCAATCGTGGTCCTCAAGAGGTCTCATGATGAAAACTTACGGGCGTCCGCTGTGGCGCGTATATGACGATGACCAGGGACCCGCCGCCAAAAAAAGACGCGTCGCGTTATCCGGCTCCGACTCGGATGAGGCGGAGAATAGTATTCAATATGCCATCCGAGAATCATCCGCTGCCGTGCTATCCAGTCCATCACGTCGCAACTCAGTCGTGCTTTCCGAAGGAACTCAGGATGATGATCTGTCGACGCCTCCATCGTCGCCCCCGCCACGTTTAAGCCCCCCGCCCGTTAATACGCGAAAACCGACCTTTGCTTTTCTCAAGCGCAAGCACACTGCCACCAAAGATGCTGCCGGTAACAGCACGCCTTTAACCGAGGTCAACTCCAATAGTGTGCGTGCCTCGATGGATCCCCCAAAGAAGAAGACGACCGCTGCCGCCGCGACGACGACGACGACAACCACAACGACAACGACGGCGGCAACCACGGCAACCACGTCAACCACTTCAACCCCAGCGACACCGCATTTGCAACAACCGGGCGCTTTGAAGCAGATGCAGATCGATGTTGGTTGTGAGGTGCGGCGAACCTGTGCGACCTGCGGTATGGAATATGTGCCCTCTAATGCGGAGGACTCAGCTACGCACAAGAAATTCCACGAAATGAACTCGACTGGGGTGGATCTGGGCAAGGCATTCATGCGCGCCAACGCATCTCGTTGGGTTTATGAAGCCACTCGCTTTGACGAGGGATATGTGGTCATTGTCGATCGCAAAGCATCCCCAACTGCAAAGAACCAGGCCAAGAAGGTGCTCGAGGTCATCTGCAAGGAGCTTTCTTCCCCCATCATCGAAGACGAAGTTCTATGGAGCCAGACAGAGCCACCGGTTCACCTACGCAAAAATGGCCCGACGGAGAAGATTGATCGCTACAAGGTCTTCTTACACATGAAGGATAGCCGCTGCGTGGGGGCCTGTTTGACCGAGCGGATTTGGGAATCTCGACCGATCCAGAAATCCTCCGCACCAGCCCCAGGCACCACCGACTCCTCGGTCACGGTTCGCGACGAACACCACCCGGCTATCGTGGGAATCTCTCGGATCTGGACTTCGGAATCCTCGCGTCGCAAGGGAATTGCTATGGATTTATTGGATTGTGTGGTCAGCAACTTCATCTACGGCATGGAAATCCCCAAGGAACAGATTGCCTTCAGCCAGCCGACCGCGAGTGGCAAAGGTCTGGCGCAGTCCTTCTTTGGTAACGACGAGTGGCACGTGTATGACGAGCAATGAATCCTCGATTGGACAACGGCCGTGACCTCTGGGGCCGGCAGCCTGCCACCCGGATGGAGATTACCTCTCTATTTTATTTCTTTACTTGTCTTCTTGATACACGGGCGTGTTGATACCCTGCTTTCTCGGGCATTGACCTTGAAGAAAGCCAATCCTGTGATGATGACCATTTATTAACTACTACTTTCTGTCTGTACTGTACAACTGACGGTGTTCTATTGGGAGGGGTATGTTGGGTTTTGTGGTTGGTCTTTGCATGCTTGTGTTTCTGTTTTTAGTTCTTGTTTTTCTTTTGTTCTTCTCTTTATTATCTTTCATTGTAACATATACCTCCTTTGGATTTTATCATACTCATAACCATGGGCATCATTGTTTTTCATTTGTCAGAAGTTGTTGGAACCGGTTCAACGGTCCTTTGGGAAGGGGTAGAATGAGCATCACAGTTACAGTCACATTTACTCACTACTAGGTAACCTACCTACAATAAAGAAGACACAACCCATTTTTTGAGCTCGTACAATGCGCACAATTACTCATAGACCTCCTGCACAGTAGGGTTACAGTGCAATACTTGCATTATGGCGTGTCTTTACTTTCGCTGATGGGTTGTGGAAGCCGCGCGGGGAATCCGGGATGAATGAATGAATGAATGGGTGGTGGTCTTCGCTGTCCGTCTCTTTCTCTCTTCCTTATTTTAACTACTACTTACTACTTCCTCCCCCTCAGCTCAGCTCAGCTCAGCTCTTCCAACTCCCACTCCCACTCCCTCTCTCCCAGTCCCCATCTCACTCTCACTTACTTCGATACCTCTCTCTCTCTATATACTTCTAGACCTAGACTTTTATGCTCTTACTTTCTCCCTTCCTTTGCTCCCCTCTCTCATGGTCAGTGCTGCTCTCCACTTCCTCCTTCGCGATGTCTGGATCCAATCCTTTCCGCCCTAGGCAGCCCGCGAGTGAGTCTCTTCCGACGGTTCCGGATTGCTTTCATGCATTCATTCATCGCAGCCTGGGCGAGGCACATCTTCATCCATTGACTTTTGACTGTTTGACTGTTCGAGTGATTGTTGTTGTTACTGACTCAACGGCATCTTAGACACTACTTTCCCCTCTCACTCCAAGACAGTCTCAATTCCCTACAGTCCAGAATCTCGCGTCTCCGTGCCTGAACCTTCACCGTTTCCGGGGTCGAGTAGCTTGCCCAGCTTCTCAACCTCCACGCATCCGCCCGAACTCGTCGACTCCGCTTCGTCCGATGATCAATCCGATACAGATCCATTCCATCAACCTTCTTTTGCCAGTGACCAGGAGAATGATGACCATGACGACGACCAAGATACTGACGGGTCAACTGTCGATGCTGTAGACTCACACCCTTCGGTAACGGCAAGGTCACCGGCAGTGCAGCCAACCGCTGCGGTGTCGCAGACAATCAGCACCAAGGACTATCACACGCAACGTCGGCCTGTGGCATCATGGCAAGAGAATGCTTACCCAATGGGACGAACCGGCTCTTCTGTGTCCCTCGCCTCGACCGAAGACACTCGCACTTCTGACGGCAGTACGGCCGATGTCTCTCAATCGTCCCTGCGGTCAGCAGGCCGGGTAGAGCTGGGAACGCCTTCATCAACCGACTCTCGTCCTCGCCCACTTGCCAGCCGTACCGTAAATCGAGACCGAATGCCGCCCCCTCCGCCGCCCAAGAGTCACCACGGACGGCTTATCAACCCTAGTCCGGGCGCAACATCTTCTCACTCCCAAACCACTCCCGGTCAATCCTCCAACCGATTCTCCCTCCGCGGTACACCCTCAGAACCATCGTACTCACCCCGTCCAGCCCAACCGGCGACGGACTACTTCTCTGGCGTGGAGACGAGCCGTTCCACACAGCCAGCCCCTGTCGACGTGCTTCGTCGGACCCAGTCGCAATCCAAGCGGCCTCCGACCCCTCCATTGAGCCGCCGACATAGTCAAATGCGGCGGTCAAAAACCACTTCTGCTAAAGTGAACCCGGTACGACTCTCCATACCACCAGAAGCAGATCCTACAGCTGCCGCTGCTTCTGTGGCTGTCCCGCCCCCGAGTCCGAGCTCGTGGTCCTTGCACCCCACCCGAACACGAGATCCCTGCTTGGCTAGCACGCCATCCGAGGAGTCGGTGCCGTCCTCATCCTCCTCGAACCGACTTTCACTACAGATTGATTCCTCCTCCACCCCGTGGATCCCCAGGGAGTCCGGGCGGGCAGCCTCGCCCAGTCCCTCAACCAAGCGCGCCTCGCTTCAGAACCCCCCGCCTCCGCCACCGCGGCGCTCGCGCGGATCCGGCAACCACAGTCCGGACAGTGTGCGCCTCAGCTTCCGGCCAAGTAAACCACAGGTCACCGCCGCGAAAGATGACTACATTCCGCACCCGTCGAATGCAAATGATATTTTGGCAGATCTCACCCGATTACAGAAGGAGGTGGATGATCTACGCGGTCATTATGAGAGTCGCAAGGCGAGTCATTAAGATGGCTAACTTCCAGCTTACCGATCACATATACTACTCGATATTTCTGTATCGTCAAAGTTGTGTAAACATGTGCGTTGAAATGCAACGAGTGACGAAGCATAGCGGATTCTTTTCTTCTTTTGCCTTTTCTTTCCTCGAGTCTATCCTCGACTTAGCTTAGGGGTTTGCATGTTACTATATGAAATACGATTCTAGTGGTTGGACTGATCCTGTACCATCCTATTGTTGGGAGTTTATATTATGTCAGTCTCACGCTTGTCTCCGCAAGCAAGCCAGCCAAAATAATCATGATAAATTTTCCTTGCTCTCCGGGAGTCCAACGGTCAGTAAGCCGGCTAGAACGGCAGCACACCCCCCGAGTCTCATGACCCATCCGGTGGAGGTATCCCACGGCTCGGCGCGGGGTTTCTGCAACGCGCGGAAAATCAGGCTGCTGACGGCGCTGGAGAGGATCTGCGGGAAGGAGATTGCGACGTTGTGGAGGCCGAGGATAATGCCTGCTTGATTGGGAGAGGGCCTCTTTATGGGTGAAGCTGGTCGCTGGGCCGTCGCGGCCGTTGCCTCTGGATAGGTCCTGCCCGCTGCCGGATGGCGACTACCGTGTGCTTTGTCGTCGTGCTGGTGACGCGCAATCTCCATGGCCAGGAGGGCCCAGGGGGCCCAGGAGGTGATGGCCCAGGAGATCCCGATGATGCCGGTCATGATGGATGCTTGGGCCGGGGTGGAGATGAGGAAGGTGCTGAACATGCAAAGGGCGAAGAGAAAGTGGGACAGAAGCCAGGTGCGGCGGAGGGTAAGGCCGCGGATGGTGGGGATGTGGAGGAACCGCGAATGCGGACGGCTCCAGCTCCTGCTGTGAGAGCTAGGAGGATAGGGTGGCTGCTGATGGTGGGGTGAGAGAGATGTCTGCCCCGAGGGGACGACGAGATGAGGCAGGATGATGCTGGCTGCGAAAGAGACGATGGCGTTGACGAGGAGCGCAAGCGTCCCGATGCGGGTTGCGTCTTCCCAGATCTTATTCACATCTTCTTCGGGGAGGTCGGGGTGTTGGTCGAGGATCGGGTTGACGTAAAGTTGGCCGATGTAGGTGGTTGCGTAGAAGAGGAAGGAGAACCATGCGAACCACGCCGGGACTTGGATCAGGTAGATCCGTCGGATTCGACTTGAGAGGCCGTGGACCGAGTCTATGATGGAGCGGAACAAGGACGGAAGGCCCGGCCTGGTCGATGTCAAGGGCTCGAAGCGCGGGTCCTTTTCCTGTATATAGGCACAGCTAAGAGACAGGGTGACTGCCAGGAAGACGCTGGCGATGACCGAGAGGCCTTTGAATTGGGTATTCCCTAGGGCTGGAAACGTTTTGGGGAGATCCATGCCGCCTAGAACATAGCCGAAGATGTTCCCAGCGCCGTTGTGACGACTCGCCCAGGCATTGGCGGACTCCTGTTGATGAGCAGGCGCGTTGTCTACAATGAAAGCTCGGGTTGCAGCCTGAACTGTGTGCTTGTCAGTTGAGGCGCCAGGAAACGGCAGGTGGGGTTTGGCTTACTGGTGTTGATGGCAAAGTCTTGACAGTACATCAGCAGTGTTGCAACAACAAGAACTGTCGTTCGCACTCCATCTGATTGCGCATCGACGCCGAACAGACTGAGCGTACCACCAACAATTTCCCGTACCCAGGCCAGAGTCAGCAGACAGCAGACAAGGACTACTCCACCCAGGGCCATGAACGGTTTCCGTTTGCCCCAGGCAATGCGACAATTATCGCTTCGTGCGCCGATGTATGGCTGCACAATGGTACCGGTCAAAGGCCCTGCAATCCAGACAAAAGCGAGCATGGCCTTGCTCATTCCCAGAGAAAGAAGATAGGGCTTATATGTGAATTAGTCATGGGGGTTATGTGCAACAAATTAACCATTGCTGAAGGCTGAATTGCCCCTTACCGATCCACTGGAGTGTTGAACTGACCAGACAATCTGCAGACTGGATATGCGACAAACGAACACAATTAGCCCATCTAGTCGATAGTAGACTCAACAGCTCACCCCAACTCACCCTGACATGCCCAAAGTCAGGACAAAGAGATACCAACTGCTTCGAGGTGCTTCCAGCAGCTCAGGTCGGTCTTGAGCCGTTGGAAGACTCGAGGACTCCAAGCCTGCCTCAATCCGCCCATCCTGTATTAGAGGCTGCGCCTCGTGGTCAGGCTCCGTCATGGGCGATTTCTACAGGAAATCCACCCTGCGACACGGAAGGCCGTGTGGAAGCAGGAAGTAGAAGCGGAAAATTGGAGGAGGGGGGGGAAGAGGGGATGAAGCAGATGATGGTCAAATCTGAGAGAGAGGCAGAGGAGGGAATGAATGGGGAGAAGTTGTTAAGTGTAGAGAAGAACTATGTGTAATTAGTTGTAGTTGGATAGTGACAAATAATACTGACAGCCGAGTGTACTGTATTTACTGTAGCTATCCTGACCGCCTCGGAAGGTTGCTGTAGAAATTCCAATCTTGTTGATTTGTTGATCAATCATTATGAAGTTCGGTTCATTGACCATACACTAACTCACACTCTACTCTGCTCTACTCTACTCTACTACATGTCGATCGGATGAAGCATAGAAAATGCGTCAATGTAGAAGAGGATGTTATATTCTGGACGCCAGACAAGAAATTGATGGATATTTGAGGGCCAGTCAACAATGGTTCACTAACACCAACCCGGTTAGAAAGGATTGACTGCATGACCCCAAAAGGTGATCGATCAATAATACTTACAGTACGATAATAACATTAATCAAATCAGATTCCGATAAACGTTGGCACTTAGAAGAAGCAGACGCCGATTGCGCCTTTCATCGGTTGCCTTGTCCTTCCCTTATCACTTCATCTTTTTCTTCCACCCTGCTTCTTTCTCTTCTTCTTCTTCTTCTTCTTCTTCCTCCTCTCCCTCTTCTCCCTCTTCTCCCTTGGACCCTCTTCCACTCTTTGCCCTTGGTCTTTCTTATTCCTGCGGCTTCGTATTCTCTCATTCTTTGTGCCAGCACAGCACCTTCAATCGTTGCCAGTCGTTGCCAGTCCCACCCGTGAAACGCGGAGAAGAGAACCAGCCATGACCACCACCAACAGTGACCTTCCCCGCATAACCGATGCCACTAAAGGTGCTTTTCATTCCCACCCAAGCAACACTCACTACACTACCACTTGGTTTTTTCTAGTAGACTTGGAAATAATAGCTAATCCCATTCCCCTTCTCCCCCCTTCAGTGTGGACCACTCTCATTACGAATACGGCATATCTTCCAGGATTGCTCACCTTGGAGTATTCGCTACGCAAAGTGGGCTCCAAGTATCCCCTGGTCGTGCTCTACACAGACTCCCTTCCGGATGAGGGTCATGCCGCCCTCGATGCCCGCGGCATTCTGAAGCAACCGGTCCCCTATTTGCTGCCCTCAGTCCCTAAGGATTATGTCAACGACGTGCGCTTTTACGATTGCTGGAGCAAGCTCACGCCCTTCTCGCTCGTCGAGTATGAGCGGGTGGTTCAGCTCGACAGTGACATGCTGGTCCGCCAGAACATGGATGAGCTGATGGATCTTGAATTGGACCCCCCAGCTCTGGCAGGAACAGGACCACGAGTTTTCGCTGCCAGCCATGCCTGCGTTTGCAATCCGCTTCAAAAATCCCATTACCCGCAGGATTGGTATGCGACCAGGCTGTGCTATTGAAATACATGAAGAACTGACGAGACAAGGATCCCATCCAACTGCGCTTTCACTTCCCAGCACCCGAACCCGGAAGCCGCCCAGATCGAGGGGGCACCGCCCACAGCCGGTCTGGGGATGCCCAACGGTGGCTTACAGGTGGTCAACCCGTCCCCAGCCATCTATGATAAGATTGTTGCCCAATTAGCTTCGTCGGTCACATCGAACTATGAATTTGCAGATCAATCTCTCCTCTCGGACGTGTTCCATGGCCGGTGGGTGGCCCTTCCATATGTGTATAATGCGTTGAAGACCCTACGATGGGATGGGGTGCACGACGCCATCTGGAGGGACGATCGGGTCAAGAATGTGCATTACATCCTCAGCCCTAAGCCTTGGGACGAGCCTGAGGAGATCCGGAAAAGCCTAGTGCCGCGCTCCAGTCGAGATGCTTCGCACGCCTGGTGGTGGGAACTGACGGAAGAGCGGCTGCAGGAGGAGCGGGAAAAGGGGTTGCATGACCAATTTTAGACTTCTTACTCTAATAATATGGCTGTTGGAAAGTGGAATGGAAAGGACATGTCAGATCGAGCGAGCGATGCTCTATGACTAGCCCCTCCCCTTGAGGCAGCAGTGGCTGGATCTATGGTGGTGGCAGCGATGGATTCAGAGCTACGGAATTTGGTTAGTGGAAGTGCTGTCTGATATTCCAGGAAGGAAAACGCCAAGATGGCCACGTCCATTTATTATGATTTTTCCAATATGGGACTTGGGAGGTTGGAGGTCTCACTTGACACACCTTTAGTACGTACTGTACAGTACTCCACCGTTCAATATTGCAGCCTGAGGCATCAATACAAAGAACCCCACCATCACCTCTGGTAGTACGGAGTACGGTGATTAGCTTCACTGAGTGTATGACATCATGGGAATACCGAACTGGGGAAAGAGTGGTTGCACTCCAGCTCTCCAGGAGCGCTGAGCCTGAGGCAAATCAGCGGCCATTTGGTAAACCGGCCAAAGAGAGCCAGTACAGCCAGTACTTCCTCTCCAGCACGGGAAATCTTGTGGACCATAAACTTCTCCCCATCCCCCCCCCAAACATCCCGGACTAGCAGTGGATCAAGCAACTTGGAAGAACGGAGACTTGTGCTCACTTACCCAGAGAATTAACCATAAAAGGAGGCGACTTCATCCGCTTCATCGTTGCATCCCTTCCTCTCCGGTGGCCCACTCATCAGCCTCACTCTTGCGCCCTCCTCTGTTCACCACCACTACTTGCCTAGAAACTACACCTTCCCATCCGTACCCTACGTCTGACTATACTATTGTTCTATTCTTATCAATCTATCAATCTCCCTGGCATCTGAAAGCTCCCACAATTGTGAAACCTCCCTTCCAGGAGACCGAGGGAGAGGCAGATTACACCTTAAATAACCGGCCTGGAATGCGCCATCCTCCTCAATCTTCGCCTTTGTCGTCGTCTTCCTTCTCCTTTTCCTTACTCTCCTCCCTCTTCTTCAGGGCCACACATATCCTCTTATCTACTTTCAGGGTTCTTCTTCTGACCTCCAGCTTCCACTTCCCCGCTCCCATCCTACTGGATTGACTGCTACCCAGCTTACAGTCAACCCAAGATGAACAGAATGACAACCCCAACTTTGATCAACCTGCCCCCGCCGCCGTCGGATCCTGTGACTCCCTCTGAGATGGGACCGTAAGACCACCCACCACCTGACTGTTTCGTGCTCTCTGTCTCTTCCACCTCAATCTGTAGACTGACATGAAATCGCGACATTCTTGTGCAGAGGAACTCCGAACTCCGGCACCACTTCGCTTTCGGCCTTGTCGACCACCGCCATCAAGGACGGTCATCAAGGCCAGCCGCACCCCTACGGTCGTCATGCGCATCACTCTCCGTCCGCATCTACCACCTCTACCAGTACTCTTGAAGCGGAACGGGCCGATCGTATTTCGCGCCTGGCCGGTTTAGAACGAGTTGCCACGGCCCGCGCGGGTGGTACGTCGCAACCCAGCGGCCCTGTGCCCACGCCTCACCATCCCAGTTACTTTGAAAGCGGATCAGGAATCAAAGAGCGCAGCACGGTGGGCAGCGCCAGTGCCACGGGCAGTGTGGGCGCCCGTACGACGTGGGCCAGCGGCAGTGATGCCTTCGACGCGGACAAGATGAGTGAGTACCCGGAAGACGGCACATCGAGTGTGGGCAACTTCAGCGATGAGGGCGATGCCAGTCTGGTCGCTTTCGGAGAGGGCGCCAGTACTATCAGTGGGCCCATCTCGAACCCCATGCTGAATCGGACCTCGTCAGGAGGCCGACCAGGATCCTTCGGCAGTCCAGGGCTGGTGCGCGTCAATCCCGTGGCCTCGCAGCACTCGGGCGGCGACACGGCAATGCTGCTATCCACAGCGTCCCCAACTGGATCCGTCACTCCCGAGCCTACCCAGGATGCTCGGATGGTGGATGGAATGACCTATGACCCGAATGTGGTAGACACCACAGTGAGAACCCCTCGCCTGGCCACTCCAGCGGAAGGTGGCAACCCACATCCGGAGATCTAGTTGGTGTTTTTGCCAAACACATGCGACGGATGCAGATTTAGTCTAGGGCTGTTTGGCGTTCAGGGATAGGGTGTTAGTTTTTGTGGGTGTATTTGTTTTCTGTAGGGAAGTCTTGTTACCAGCGATTGGGGGATTATCAGGGAGGAGAATGTATTTGTATAGGCTTTGTTTGGCGATGTTGGGCGACCAGTCCACCTCAGGCAGAAGAAAACGAAACAGGATTTGTAGAATAAGGCTGGCGACCATTTCTAAATCTGACTGCCACGAAGGTTGAATGAATTACCTTTTTAAGTGTACTTTGATGAAGAAAAAAAAAAAAGAAAAAAGAAAAAAGAAAAAAATTAGTGAGAAAACAAATCACTAGATCTCTTCTCTACGCAGTCAGCAATCAGAAGAAACCCAATTGATCGAGATCATCAAACCGGGTCTGGAACATTTTGGGGCAGAGAAGGTGGGCAAAAAGTGGGCGGGCGGCGCCCAATGAAGAAGATAGTTAAGTATGTACACTTCCAGAATCCAGCCTGGAGGCACTCAGTAAAGCCAGTGTCTCCTCGGCGGCTCCCGCCATTCTATACCTTACCTAGTAGTAGTGGCCCAGTGCAGTGGCTGCGGGTGCCACCACCCGGTGGGTTCCTCAGGCTCAGGCTCAGGCTCAGGCTCTGCCACAACTTACTCAAGTTTAGTCCCAGTTTCTTTCTCTTGTTTCTTCTCTCCTTCGCCTCTTTCTTCCATCACCAACTTTCTCTTCCTCTCCGCCGCCTCCCCTCCCCTTCTCCCCCCCCCACCTCGTCCTCTTCTCTCCTCCTCCTCCCCCCACCTCTACTCTCTACCTCCTCTTCTCTTTTCTTCGTCTTCGTTCTCAAGCAGTTCCAATTCAGTCTTCCCTGTCCATCTTCACCAGCTGGCATTGACTTGTCAAGCACAAGGAACACTCTGGGACTTTTCACAGCACAAGATCTACCTCCCTTCTACCTGCCAAGCTTCACCCGCCCAGTCTACACAGTCTTTGTGTGTGTGTGTGTGTGTGTGTGCGTGCGTGCGCGCGTGCCTGTTGTTCTTCACTGCCTCAATTCAAACGTCCTCAAACGTCCTCGTCTCGGCTTTGTTCACTCTTCCACCTGCTTCTCCAGCTACCTCCACCAGTAGCACCCCATCCTCGGATTCGATTTTTCGCAATTCGATCGACATCTTCTCATCCCCATCTTCTGCCACCATCGGCCCGTCCATTACACCGTTGAATTGCGGCCATTGTTTCGTCCACACCTTGGATTTTAGAGGATTTTGTCAGATTTCTTGAACTGTCAGTGCGACTTTCGGCGCGCGTCTTCCGCTAGCTTTGTGAATTTGCGATTCTGTGTATCATCCGATATAACACATCGTTGAAAATGGCAGCCCCTACACAGTTGGCTTGTAGGTCCTTCCCGCTCGAACCCCACTCCTCATGCTCTTCACGACGACGTCTCTGCAGGCTATCGAGGTGCAGATCCAACATATCGAACAGAACACTAATCAGTTACAGACCGTACGGTCAAGGGCGTTGGCATCTTGGATGCGGCCCCAGTCTATGGACCTTTGTCTGGATTTGAGAAGTATGTCCCATTATCCCAGAACCATGGGCACTGTCCTCTATTAGGAAAACTGACTGATTGTGATTTGTGGTTGCAGACCTGAGGGAAACCTCCGTTGTAGCGCTTACTCTCCTTGCGGTCGCTATTTCGCCTGGGCCTCTCCCGACAAGTATGTTAGCTCTTCCTGCATAACAACCAAACAACAGCGTGATTGACTATATCTCAGGGTGACAATCATTGATCCGTCTGTCGGACACGTTGTCTCCACCATTGCCGCGGAGAACGTCTTCGAGCTGGGTTTCTCACCGCTTGGAACCTATCTGATCACCTGGCAACGTCCCACCAAGGATGCCAATGGCGATGCTGTGAAGAATCTGAAGGTCTGGCAGGTCGTGTCCAGCGGAGATGAGAATTTAGTCGTGGGCAGCTTCGTCCAGAAGTCGCAGACGGGCTGGAACCTTCAGTACACCTCCGATGAGCGTCATTGCGCGCGCGTCGTCACCAATGAAGTCCAGTTCTACCAGAGCGAGAACCTCTCCCAGGTCTGGAACAAGCTGCGAGTTGAGGGGGTCGCTGATTTCGCCATCTCTCCCGGCAAGAACACTTCCATTGCTGTCTTCATTCCGGAGCGCAAGGTATGCATGCGGCACTCAGTTTCCAGCCGCGTCGATTGTATACTAACGTTGGGTTTCTAGGGACAACCTGCCGCCGTCAAGGTGTTTTTGGTGCCTCAGTTTGGCGCTCCTGTCTCGCAGAAGACTTTCTTCAAGGGTGACAAGGTCCAGCTGAAGTGGAACGAGCAGGGCACAACCTTGATTGTGTTGGCCCAGACGGATGTCGATCGCTCGGGCAAGAGCTACTACGGCGAGACCACCCTCTACTTGCTCAGTGCAGGTGGTGGCTTCGACTCCCGTGTGGATCTGGGTATGTAATCGGCGCATGTGGTATAAATCCAGACAATGATGTACTAACGTTGCTGCAATAGACAAGGAAGGCCCGATTCACGATGTGACCTGGTCTCCCAACTCGAAGGAGTTTGGTGTGGTCTATGGTTACATGCCGGCCAAAACCACCATTTTCAACTTCCGCGGTGTCCCCAAGCACAGCTTCCCGCTCGGCCCTCGTAACACCATCCAATTCTCTCCACACGGTCGGTTCGTCCTTGTGGCCGGTTTCGGTAACCTTGCGGGTCAGATGGATATCTACGACATGGACAAGAACTACCACAAGATCGCGACGGTGGAGGCTTCTAACTCGAGTGTCTGCAATTGGTCTCCCGACGGTCAGTTCATTCTAACCGCCACGACCAGTCCCCGCCTGCGCGTGGACAACGGACTTCGTATCTGGCACGTGAGCGGCGCTCTGATGTACAACGAGGAAATGACTGAGCTTTATGATGTGTTCTGGCGTCCCCAGTCCCTGGAGCAGCACCCATTGGGTGACCCTTTCAACCCTCTCCCTACCCCTCATCCCTCCGCCGTGGCCTACCTGAGCACCAAGAAGGCTCCTGTCAAGCCCGCGGGTGCGTACCGGCCTCCCGGCGCTCGCGGCCAGCTCACTCCTCTCGCTTTCAAGCGTGAAGACCAGGGCGGTGCTGCGTATATCCGGGAAGGCGCGCCTACCGGTGGTGTCGTGAACGGATTCGGTCGCTCTCGCAGACGTGATGTGCCTGGTGCTGAACCAGCCGAGGAATTTCTACCTCCGGGAGCCGCTCCTGGAGGAGGCGTGGCTCTGCCTCCGGGCGTTGAGCAGCCGGAGAAGCTGTCCAAGTCGGCCGCCCGCAACAAGAAGAAGCGTGAAGCCAAGAAGCAGAAGGATGAGCAGGGTGAGGGTGAGCCGGCTGCCGGCCAGTCCACCCGCAGCCCCGACCGCCGCGGCGACAAGGCTCATGAGCGCAACCGGTCCAAGGGCCAGAACAACGAGCGCAAGAACAACCAGCAAACCAATGGGACTCCCGCCAAAGCCAATGCTCAAGCCAAAGCCACTGACAGCGTTGCGGCGGCGGAGGCTGCTTTGGATGCCAGCGGAGCACCCACTGCGCAGGATAAGAAGATTCGTGGGCTTCTGAAGAAGATCCGAGCGATCGACGAGCTGAAAATGCGCCTTGCCGGTGGGGAGAAGCTGGAGGATACGCAGATGAAGAAGATCCAGACCGAAGACGCGGTGCGCAAGGAATTGGAGTCTTTGGGCTACAATGGTTAAGGCTAGGTTGTTTACTTTGTGCCTGCCCTTTGCTTGTACATATAGTTCCTTGTGGCTATTTACCCCCGCTCTACGTGGTGGGATCATCTTCGCCGATCTGATGTATTCATTTCTCGTTCTGCTTGCATCGTTGGAATTCACTGAGGTGCCCAAGCATACTATACTATCTATCTAAAGGGTCTATATGTATTGTATATATAGAAGTGGTTAGGAGAGAAAAAAATATATACTATCTATTAGACCATTGATGACTTGATCACAGTTTCTTATACTCATCGATGAGGGGGTCCTACTAGATGGCAAATGCATGTGCTGATATGTGACTGCCGATGAATACTGCAACTATTCAAAATACTGGAAAGACGGGTGTTGCGTGTGAGGTATGCAAACATAAAGAGAAAAAACCATGTACAATATATCCAATGTAATCCTTGATTTACCTATGTATTGAAGCGGTATCGCTCAGTATCTATCTACCTACAATGTGTGACCACCGACTCCAAAACAGATAGGCAGGTAATCTCTACAGTAAGTTGATGAATGTTCCCATCCGCCCACCTACCACCAAACTTCCCACCCCAACCCATCCAAATCCAGCCACGACCCTTTTCTCCTCCACAATTGCCTATCGATGTAGAAAAATGTCTTTCACAGGTGGCGGGGAAAAGCAGGATGGACTCCTGCCGACCCCTCACCCTGATCCAATCCCATCCACCGGCCTACCTGTCCTTAACACTTCCTCAACGAGGAAAAGTCCAGCACAGATAACCTTATAGAAAGGAAGACGAAGATCGATAGCAACCACGGGGAGAAATGAGGGAAAGGGAGCGGAGACGGCCGCTCTTTCTGGATAAGGGGGTCACGAGGGGGAGCGGTTCGCGTTTCTTGTATGCGTTGGAGAGAAAGACTCCAGCCATTCGAGAAGCCTGACCTGGTGGGTAGGGATGGGGGGGTTTTTTCCGCGAATCCACTTTTGATAAGTGGATGGAAATGAAGGATGGGGTGTCGATGTACCGCGTCCGATACAGAGCTTATCCTTTTTCTCCGAGGGAGATGAGGGATTTCAAGGTAATGATCTCGCCTTGCGCTCCACCTTGCAGTGCGGAAGTTTTGGTTGGGCTACGATGTGTGCGGTAAATGGGGTAGGGGGCAAGGGAATGGGAATGAAGGATACGGTAAAATGTCCCGAAAGATGTAAACGTGTAAGTATTGGGTATCTTGGTCATCCTATCTGTTTGACCGTCTTGACGGGATGAGAGGTGCTGTTTGGTGTAGGAAGCGGTTCTGGGGGCGTCGCGGACAGTCACACTCCAAATGCTCGGTAGGAGATATCAAATCACAGTCGCATTAAACAGGACATCGCAGAGCCTTTCTTCGAGGTTGCTTGGTGCAGTTCAGGTAAAGTTGCGGAGGCGCTTGATTGGGCTTCCCATGATGCCGATCGACCGTTTGGCGCTCGCCATCCCACTCAGGAGTCGGTCCATCCCGTCCACGTCCAGTTCGCCCTTGTGCAGACGCTGCTGGTCGCTCTCAGTTGATGTGACCCCAGCGACGGTCATGGTGCCGGCTGGAACGTTCTCGGGCTCGATCACTTTGGGTGCAAGGATCAAGATTCGATGTTCGGCAGTGAGAATCAAGTCGAATGGCGGTTGTTCGGAGCCGCGCGTACGGCTGGAGGCTACGGGGAGATGACCCACTCCTTTGAGGCGCTCACCCATGAACGTGACGTCCTGGAGGGTGGACACCCGGCAGCGGTTGGAGGGATCAAACGTGCCGGTGGCCTTGGTGGCATTGCGCCACAAAGACAACAAACTAGAGATAACGGCGGTCTGGTTACCGTGTCGCAGTAGGATTGCCTCATCTGGCATGGGGTCTCTCCAAGTATTCGTTTGAAACACGGAGATGCCTCCGCTCAACGACGAGTTGGCGGTGCTGGCCGAGCCGCCTTTCAACAACGTATCCTCTCGTACACGTTTGGTCGACGGTGTGAGGGGAGCGAACCTGGGTCGATGTTCGAAAGAAGGAACAGTAGTCTCGGAGTGATGACCGCTCGGGAGTGGGCTCAAAAGCCGTCCGCTAACAGAAAAGGTTGTCAAAGAGCCGCCGGTCACGCCCTGCACACTGGATTGGCGCTCAAGCGGACCCTTGATATTTCCCGGACCGGTCCCTTCAATGTCCCAAACCCCCCATTCCCCGTCCGACATCAAGACCATAATCGCTCGTCCTCCAAGTACCCATTCCGCGCTGATTACAGTCTTGCGCCGCGTGAGGCCCGAGACGCTTTGTTCGAATCCAGGGTAAAGGCTGATGTGCCACTTTCCTTCCGTCTGGGAGGTCTCAAAATCACTTTGCACGCCGGAAGACCTGCGCGAGGCCTTGGATCGCTTGGTAGCAAAACATGAGTACACTTTGACACAGCCGCTATGGAAAGCGACAAGCAATGTAGAGTGGCGCGGCGTGGGATAGCCAGACGGGTTGAATGAAATGTTCGTGGCCGGAGCCGGGAGGTATCGACGTTTAGTTTCGATCGCATCGTCGCAGAGCCGATGTCCGTCTGCAATCGGGATCCGGTGGATTAGAAGCAGCCCCGCCGACTCTGCGGAATGGGTGGCGACGAGAAGGTCCCACCGTCCGGAAGCATGCTGTTGGCCGCGGGACAGGTTCTGCTCCTTGTTCTCGGTCTCCTGATACGTGAACGTGACGCTGACCCCGCGGGGAAGTTCTTGATGGGATACTCCGCCGCTGATGGAAATGGTTTGGACCCCAATCTTGGTCTGGTGAGGGTGAGGGGGAGCCAAGGGTATGGTCACCACGCGCGTAGAGTAGTCTGCACAGACGGCAGCAACGACAACGAGCTCTTTTAAGGTTGGAGGGAATGGGTCAAGTGACGAGCGAGCTGCTTCAGGTAGAATGCGAGGTACTGCCAGATGAAGAACCCTGCTCCCCAAGGGGATGTCGACCTGGCGCAGGATACTTTCATATGGATAAGCAGGATCCACTTCGGGCTCTTCTTCCTCGAACTGAGCTTTAGGTTCTTCTTTGGAGATAGACGATTGAATCTCTGCGACACTCTCGTCGTCGGAGTCAATGATCATAACAGCGTCGTCACTCGGGGGTGGAGCGGGCTTCTGGGGCTTATCTGCCTGGGCAACAGGAGTTTTCTCCGTGGCGAAAGGTTTCCCTCCTCGCCAAACCACCTTTAGACCCGTCTCGTAGCCGTAAACGACAATCGATGAGCCATTGGGAGCAACAAGGGGGTAACCGGCTGCCGTATGAACACGATGGGGGAGTTGATAGCTAGAGGGAGGAGCAGCCACGGTCAATTCAGGCAGTCTTTTTCCTGGTCTCGGCTCAAATCAAAACTTACCTTAATTGTAAGCCGCCGTCATCTCTGGGTCTGACCAGAGGCTTCGATGGGAACGATGGCATGGTCTAAAGGTGTTTGCGGGTTGGTGATGGAATGCGAAACTGGGCAGAGCTTTGAAGCTTAGCTTTTGTTGGAAGAGCTGCTTTGGCACGAATCTGCTGGATTTCTAGTCCAGAAGACTGACAACCACCATTCCCAAGCAGAAGTTTCCAATAGTGGTAAGGGTGAGGGGCGCAGAGTAGTGAGAGATAGAACGAAATAGAGAGGAATGCAGAATTGCGGATTGTCTTGGAGATGGTTGGAGATGAGCGGGTTGTTTTTGTCGGGGGGAGGAAAAGGCGGAGGAGGAGATCAACTTTCAGTCCCGCCGCCGCGTCCCCAGCGCGTCCCTCTTGTGTAGTCGGGGTCGGTCTATCTTATACTCAATACACCAACAACCTCCCCACCCCTCCAAACACTTTCTCGATTCGGGTGTGGGAATCTCTCTCTTCTCTTACTGACACATGCCGGGACGACAATGGACATGACCCTGTTACTGGCTCCATTTGCCAGACCTTCATCCGCTACACCCAACGACAACCATTTGCGCCGCCGATAATGGCTGCCGTGCGGTCTCTCGGTCTCCACGAACCTGCGGCTGTCGCCTTCCTTGTCGCCGAAGGTCTTCTTCCCCCCGATCCATCCGAAGACCTCTACAAGTGGACCACTGGTGTTGATGAAGATTCCAACGGTCCGGTTGAAGATGAGATCGTATGGACCAAGAGTTGCGCAGTTTGGTCGCGAGCCGGGGTGGTGAAGAGAATATTCCGCCTAGATCTTGAGAAGGAAGATATTCGACATGCCTTGCTGGCTAATTTCTCCGTGGGAAAGATCAAACGCTCCGAAGCAAGTCTCTCGAACGCAACAAAGGCCGCCGGTCATGCGCCCATGAACCATGTCCTTGCCCGCTCTCGAGACTCCAGCGAATCTCATGTTGACACAGGCCACCAACAGCCGAAACAATCCAACACCAAGCGGAAGATTGATCAGCGAGATGGCAAAGCTGCAAGGCCGAATGGACTCCAATCGGGCAATATTTCGCGCGCATTAGTGGTGGTACTCAAGTCCCAGGCTCATATCTTCTTCTTAACTGGCAACAGCCATGTCGTCCCTCTTCCGTTCGAAGTCGACTCGGTCTTTGCCACTCCTCGAGGCTTGCTGTTTCAGCGAAAAGTGCTTGAGGAAGAAGCTACGAGTCCTCTTCCAATGGCGCCTCCGAATTCCTTCGTATCAAACCTGCCCGATTTCCGAGCGTCACTGACGCTTGATATCCCCTCAGGCAGAAAAAGTCGCCCATCCTTGACAATCTCACCTGCCCAGAACCAAGGTCTACGTCCACGCAGTACCAAACAAGCGGAGCTGCCCCGCGTCTTCTCGCTCATGGACCCCCATTCGGAGATGGGCCTGGTAGTTACCAAACAATCGTCCCGATGGTTACATACAAGTGTTAACACCCGACCTTCGGGCTTGTATGTCCTCGACTCTGCCGACGAGATTGTCTATGTATCTCCTAGAGATGAGCTATCTGGGCTGAGTCGAAATTTGGCCAATGGACCTCTGATTCTCGTGGTCACTTCCAACATGAATACAGGTCTCTATACTATCTGGACAGCACGCTATCGAGAAGATGAGTTCGCGCCAGCTTCCAAGAAGAAAACGGACAAGAGACGAGACACAGGTGGGACTCGATCAAAAAGACGGAGCTCCCACTTCGGAATGACTACTGGGTCAACCACACCTGCTGCCCGCCCGTCAGGTGCGAGAGAAAGTTTTGGTCCCAGGGGTGATGCGTGGAACACATCCGGCCTGTCCCTGTCGCAGTACTCCACGGATGGCAGGCCAGACGAGGACGACCTAGCCTCGAAATTGGGCCAGGACTTCGGGGATATCGGGGTGCCACTCAAGACCTCCCGACGAGTGAGTTCTCTGTTGGCACGAGCGGACCTGGCATCCAGCCAGGATAGAATCACATTCTCAGATTTGGCGACAGGAAGTCAATCGAGCTCCATGCCTCACGGGAACTTTCGGCAGTCCATTGGTGCTGGTAGCACTCGGGGGAGTTTCGGGTTCAATCCGAGGGGCTCCTTGCCACCCGGCAACGGTTCGGTTTACAGTACTACGAGCAGCTTCATTGATGCGCCGGTGGATAGACTTCTGGAAGAACTAAACAATGAAAGTCTCTTCGAAGGATTTGAAAACATGGACCTGAAAGATTCGGCTTCGGGTCTTCCAGAAGAAGTACTCCTGACCAAGGTTGAGAGCTTTTCTTCCAAGTTCTCAGGCTCCTTCCATACCCCGCTGAGGTTCAAGTCATCCTCACGACGACCGAAGATCGTTACGCTCTCTCCGTCAGAGTTCGGAAATGCACAGGACGGCAACTCGGCAGCCTTGGCCCTCTGCCTTGTGGATCAAGAGGCAAAGTCTATGACTATTGTCAACCTTCGAGTTGATCGTGTTGCTATCCCAAAGAAAGATGGAGGCATGTTCACCAAGAAGTCTAAGAAGGGTGCCGCGTCGAATGAGCGCTCGCTACTTGTCCAAGCTTCAGGCGTGCAGCATTTCCCAGACGTATGGGATGCTTGCAAGGTGACTGATGGCGGTATATCGAGACTCATGACCGTAAGAACAGGCGATTATGGCCAAGGCATTTTGCATCTCCAAACTCCGTGGGGTACACCACAGGCGGTCGAAGTGCCGCGTAACCTCATGTTGCACGAAGCATACGGAATCTACTTGAACGTTCCTGGAAGTCGTCGAAGAGAAAGCGGCGTCAGACGCCTAATGACGGATTCGTTGATTGCCATTGTTGGGCTCGATCATCCAGCTGTGCGAGGGAAGTTTGATGTCATCGACTCGGCTAATCGCCGACATAAACTTCAAATCAAAATGGAGCCTAGCAATGAAATGGTGAAGAGTGTCTTCAAGATGTGCCGGTTCGCATTACCAGATTCTGAGAAGGCAGGTGATGGAATTCTGTCAACGTGGTGGGAGGTAATGAAATGGCTCCATGGGCGAGATGTCGACGATGACGATTTGGAGTGGACAGCTATGGTTCTAGTCCTGTTCTCATTGGCGATTCCTTTTATTGAAAGCAAGCCGACAAGAAACTCAGTCAGGCCCACGCGACGAAAGAAGGGGCTATTGCGGTCAAGCAGCGGAACATACATTGATTCGGAGAGTTGGGAGGCGATGCTCGACCAGGAATCTGGCTCTACTGGCGTGGTGGCATCGTGGATGAACACCAGCTCCTGGGGCTGGGTTGTAGAGCAAGACGCACAGGACAGCGAACTCAGCCAGGGCGCGCCATCCCCTTCAAGCCAGTCCACCTATCGTCGGAACACCTACCTCACTCGTTGCATCGCTCTGGCCAGGGAGTTTCTGCATAGTCCGCAGGGCGTTTCCGTCATGGGCTCAGAGGGGTCTTTACCTACAGCGCTGTCGTTTAGCCAAAGCTTGCGAAGTACAGCACTATGTACGATTCTAGTGGCGTTGCACCTCCTTCGGGAAGAGCACAAGCTGTCCATTTGCGATAGCGAACAATCGCATAAATCTCTGGGCCTCCTTGCTCCTGTCCTAGCCCAGATCGGTGGCTGGCTTGGATGGACGTCCTGGACTTGGGCAGAGGACACTTACCTCGGAACCGAAATGGCCAGTATGGATCGTTGGGAATTCGACGAGACGCGTATATCCAAGCTAGATGTTCCCGACGAACCGTTCGCCCCGCCCTCGATCTTCTTGCATCTCGAAAAGGCATGGAGTGGAACCACCGGGTCTTTCTTCACACTCTTGAACCTTGTCACCGGTTCTGATCGGTCCCCCAAAAAGGGTCGCCTGTGGCAAGAATGCTACGCACTCACCCCGCGAACATTGGCACTAGATGGTTTCTTATCAGAAGTACACACCTGCCCGACGCCAATGGACCGGGTGCAGCTTCTCTATCGTTGGGGGTTCACAAAGAACATAATCGAGACCTTCCCGGAAGGTGTCAGCACTCCCCTATATGAAACTATCTTACGATCGCAGATATACGCCTCGACCTCCTGGGGCTCAGCGCTGCTCCAGCTCGTCGATCGTGAAGACCTCAGTACCTCCCTAGGTGGAAACAATTCGGGACCACCGCCTGCGCCCGCGCCGCTGCAGCCTGCAATGTCGCATGAAGCAGTACGCGACGTTCATCACATTGGTGTTTCGGCTCTGGACATCGATGCAACCAATTCTTTCGAGATATCTGCAGAGGCAGATCGGCTGTCCGTGACAAGGTTGATCTTCCGCGAAGATAAGCGTTTCACTGAAGCGACACGGCTGCTAAACCAGTCCAAGGCCCCAGTGGCTGAATGTGTACCCGAGCCAGAGTGGACTGATTCGGATTTGTTGGAGGCGCAGAAAGAAGTGGTGCAATTAGTGACCCTGCGTACGCTTTCTATCCCAACCGGGCGCGCTATGTTGGCCTTCAGCGGTCGCTTGCCCCTCTTGACCGAGAAACTTCCCATTCCTTCCTTTTCGCTGCAATGTGTGATGAAACCATCGAATGTAACGATTAGCGCAGACCGAGCCTCCTTCAGTGAGGAAAAGGTGTGTTGGGCCTTCTTCCATAACGGAGTGTCGACGGGCCTGGCTATCTCGAGAAATTCCAAGGGCATTGACACCTCTTGGATCCTCTTCAACAAGCCACAGGAGCTTACCAACCGACATGCCGGCTTCCTTCTGGCGCTGGGCCTCAATGGCCATCTTAAGTCGCTGGCTAAGTGGGTAGCTTTTAAGTATTTGACCCCCAAACATACGATGACATCGATTGGCTTGCTGCTTGGTCTTTCGGCCTCTTACCTGGGAACAATGGATACCCTTATTACCCGCCTTCTTTCCGTTCATGTTACACGGATGCTGCCAACGGGTGCAGCTGAGCTCAACCTATCGCCACTGACCCAAACGGCCGGGATCATGGGGATTGGTCTGCTGTATTGCGGCTCACAGCACCGACGTATGAGCGAAGTCATGTTGTCCGAAATTGAGAACGTCGAGCAGGAGGAAGGTAGCCCAGCTCACGATGATCTGCGGGACGAAGGGTACCGTCTTGCAGCCGGGTTGGCACTGGGCTTCATCAACCTCGGCAAAGGAAAAGACCTTCGTGGTATGCGCGACATGCACATTGTGGAGCGACTGCTAGCTGTGGCTGTGGGCACCAAGAACGTGGACCTTGCGCACGTATTAGATCGAGCCACAGCTGGTGCGACAATTGCGTTAGCAATAATCTTCATGAAGACCAATGACGAAATTCTGGCGCAGAAGATCGACATCCCAGATACAACGGTGAGATTTGACTACGTCCGCGCAGATATTTTTCTTCTGCGCACCCTTGCACGTCACTTGATCATGTGGGATCGTATCCGGCCCACCGATGAGTGGTTTGTGCAAAGTCTGCCACCGGTCTATCGACGACGGTATCGCCTGAGGAGCGTGCGCCGACTAAAGAGCGATGACATGCCGTTCTTCAATATTGTTGCGGGGTTGTGTTTCACACTCGGTCTGCGCTATGCGGGCTCAGCTCAGCCGGCAGTCCGCGATCTTCTACTCGCCTATCTTGACCAATTCATCCGCATCTGCCGTCTGCCCGCGATCAACTACGACGCCAAGCTGACGCGCAATTCCGTGCGACACTGTCAGGATGTCGTGGCCCTATCAGCCGCCGCCGTCATGGCCGGCACTGGCGACCTGGCCCTCTTTCGCCGGCTGCGGTCTTTACATGGACGCGTGGATTCGGACACGCCGTACGGCAGCCATATGGCCTCACACATGGCACTAGGGCTGTTGTTCCTGGGCGGTGGCAGTTACACTCTGGGTACATCGGACCTGGCCATTGCATCCCTGCTATGCTCTCTCTACCCCATCTTCCCCACTACTGTACTCGACAACAAATGCCATCTACAGGCGTTCCGCCATCTGTGGGTGCTGGCTGCCGAACCACGCTGCCTGGTGCCTCGCGATCTCGATTCTCGCCGGCCGATCTCCCTCCCTATAACCTGGACCACTGCTCAAGGCATCTGTCGTACCGTCACGGCACCCTGCCTCCTTCCCGACCTGAGCGGACTGACACGCGTGGAGATTCGCCACGCTGACTACTGGCCATTAGTCCTGGACTTTGCCGCTCAACCTGATCTGCGTAACAAGCTTCGCCAAGGCGACCAATCGGTCTACCTTCGCCGCAAGCCTATGTACAACTCCACAGGCGCGTCGTCAGCCTTCGTGTCGACTCTCTCTGGTCTCAGCGACGCACAGGATATCCTCCCGTCTTCAAGAATCGCCACACAATCAGGCAAGGGCCTGTTGGCCCCGGCTCAAGTCACCCCTCTGAGCGGGCCACGAATCCCCAGTGCAACCGCTCACAACCTCTGGGAATGGATCTTTGCTTTGGATTCTCTGCAGGATCTGGGCGTCCGCGAGAAAGCTCTCATCCTGCCCCAGTCTTCCTCGGCCGGCTGGCGCCGTCGTTCCGGAATCCCGACGGCGGAGCTGACGGCCGTGCCCTGGCTTCGCCCCTCTGCTGTAGATATCCAACTTGTCTTGGAGCGGACGGTGCATGGTATCGTTCAGGCAGCCAGAGGTCGGGCCGCTGATGCGGACGAGGTTCGCGACCGGCTCTGGCAGTTACGGTTGTTATTCAGCTGGCTGGACTCGCGGGCTGATGACGGCCTGGACAAGGAAGGCAAGGGTGGTTCCTCTGACGGCTTGTGGCTGCGCAGGGATTATATCGAGGAGACCAGGTGGAAGATCTGGGGGGTACAGATCGGAGATTCGGAGTGAGGAGGTGTGTGCATCATATATGATATGGAGAGAATCAGTTGCTTCGTTCCCTGTTGCTACGGCAGTGCCGCAGGGTATATGATTGATGGCCTGCTAAGATGTTTACATTCTGTGCTCGTTTATATTCTACTAATCCAAGGGAGGTTGTACTACTGTAGTGAAGTGGACAAAAGAGGAAAGATCTTATCGCTGTACCGGGCATGACTCTCCATGCGAGTTGATTTATACAAGTATTTACGCACCAAAAAAAAATCCGTTGTAAACTCGTTGACTTCATACCGTTCCAAGCTTGATTCGCCTCCAATCCCCTTGGTTCCCCGAGATAGAAGAAGTCCGGGGTGTCACTGAGAGCGAACAGCGCCTTCTTTGAGAATCCCACGATCCCCTCCGCCGCCCATCTGCCACAGCCAGACTCCTTCCACAGCCCACGCGGTCGCGCTGGCGTGGTGTCGCCGTCTCCCTGCATCTTTGGCGGATGTGGACGCGTCTTCTTCTTCTTCTCCCTCCTCCTTCTGCGCCCCTCGTTTCTGGGCACGCTCGGTATTTCCTGAATCGTCCGCTTCCGCCAACATGCCTGCGACCACTCCCTCCTTCTCGACTGTGGCCCACAATCCCTCAACCAGCGGAGTTCCTCTCTCTCCGAATTGACCCTTCCCCAGTCGAAACAAGATGCGGCCCAGGACCTGCCACGCGATGCACCGCTGTGCGGCGAATGTCGAGCGACTCAAGATCGCCAGTTCGGGGATCGTGTACCCCGCTGCGTGGGGGTCTTTGCCGTGGTGATGCAATCCTAGACTTGTGGGAAGTGACAATGAGGTCGACGGCGGAAGGATGGTGCCCAGTAAGGAGAAGCGCAGATGAGCTGGATGGATGGCCTGGGCGGTGCTGGCGGGGTGGTAAGGGGAGCTCGACTCGGGGTCTTCGTCGGAGGCGGAGGGAGGTTGCAGCCAGCTGAGACTGGAAGGGTCGTGGGCGATGTTGGGGAAGTAGTGCGTTTGGAGATCGGAGAGGAAATTCGGGGACGTGGGATCGAGATTCGGCATGGACGACGCGGAGGGGGCGGTGGGGAAGTGCACGGATCCGGAGAGGGGGAGAGAAGCGGCCGCGGCAGGATGGAGGTCGGAGGGGAGTTGAGCGGGTGGGAGATCGTCGATTGCGGAGTTGTTTTCTGGTGGTGGTGGTGGTGGCGACGGCGAGGATGATGAGGGTGATGGTTGTTGATGCTGATTAGAGGGCTGTACATCCTGTTTCAATGCTGGTGGTGGTGGTGTGGTGATAGTGGCTGGATCATGTGCATGATCTTCGGTTGGTTTTTCAGGCTGTTGCTCCTTGGATGATGGTTGCGGTGGTTGCGTGGATGGAGGGGTAGAATCAGCGTCATCGATACGGGCTCGACGGAGGAATCGCTCAAGTAGAGATGGATCTAAAGACTCGAGAAGCTCTTCACGTTCGTGTTGGATTTGGGCCTGCGACATCGAGGCCAATTGTCGGTCGTTCTGTTCCGCGATGGCCTGCTTCTCGTCCTTCTCGGTGGGGAAGTTCGAAGAGGCTGCGGACGATGCGGTGACCGACGATGAGTCCTGAGCTCGGCGCTGTTTGAAGGCAGATTGCTTATTGCGTCGACGATGAGCGGGAAAGCCGGTGGTGGTGGGTTTGAGGGTTGGCGGCGCGGGGTTTGCGGCGGGGGAGCGTTCACGAATCTCACCGATCATCCCGGGAATGGCGAGGGTGGTGGACCCCTCCGAGGAGGCGGGTGGGAGTTCTTCTTGTTCATCCTCGGAGTCGAGGTTGAGAATGAACCGGTCGCCACGAAAAACCATGATAGTAATCAGACACCAGGTGAAGGTTGGGAGATGAGGATGAATTGATGATGATGATGATGATGATGATGATGATGATGATGATGATGATGAGGAATGAAGCCCGGTCGGAAATGCGTGGACGGGAAGGATTGAAGAATCCGCCCAAAGAGGAATAGCCAGTCTGACTCAGCATGAGGCTCAAAAGCTAAAAGTTGACGAGCTAGTCCTGTTGAAGGTTAGTGACTCACTTGGTTGGACTGCCTGATCGGGCTAGGTCTCCAGTGTCATGTGACTTGATCTGATATCGGATGATGAATGAATGAATGAATGGATGGATGGATGAATGGAGTGAGGGACTGAAATGGCGCAAGTCCCGTAGCTACGGTACGTACTTTGTATCCTGCACTCGGGACTATTGATTTCTTCCAATGATCAACTAACCAACTGCCATAACAATAAAACCCTCCCCGATAGACTGTAAGACACAATTCATCCCAACCACTCTCCATAGATAGCTATCGTCTATTACAAGTGAGGTCCATAAGTCAAGAATTCAGTAATTGATATCAAAGCCCTGGTAAATTCGACAAGTCAAACGCGGCGCCTGGCATCCAGCCCGCAGTTACTGACCAGACTGTTTGCTGTCGTGGTCGTCTTCGTAGTTCCTGCTCTTTCTCTCCTCTTTGCTTAGGCCTTGGGCTGAGAGCGAGCGAAAAACACCCTCCCTCTACTCTCTTCCCTTTTCCCTTTCCCTTTCCCTTTCCTCTTCCACTTCCTCTTCCTTCCTCTCTTCTTTCTTGCCTTCCCGTCGTCTGGTATACTTCAATTCTCTCCCCTCGTTCTCAATCCTCAACCTTTCCCACTTCCTCTTTCTTTTCCCTTTTTTCTTTCTCCCGTTCTCCTTTCTATTTATGTCTTCTTTTCCCATTGACCTCTACTGAGTTCCTTTTATGCGCCGTCTTTCCGCCAGGAGTGCCTAACTCTACTTCCTGCTCCTCCTTCTTTGCCGCCCTCCCCCTCTCTCTGTCTGCATCTCCAGCGCATCTCTATTAACGGGAACCATCTGATTTGCATCTCAACCTTGCTATTGCAGATTCCGGACCACTCCCGCGCGTCAACTGGACTCCATATACTGCGAGTTCCTTCCCCATATCGCGCAGTAACGCCTATCCAGCCTCATCGTATCTCTTTCAACCCGGCCACCCTCTCAATGCACCATTACCCTCAGCTTTAACTTTCCTCGCCCCGGCCCCCCCCCCCCCCCCTCCCCTCTCCTCTCTCGACTCGTCTATTACTGCTCATCATGTCCCCCGAGCCCTCCAATATACCGGCCCAGGACGAACACGAGTCTCGCACCACACACGACGGTACCCCTCGCGAAACTCGCCCTCGACGGTCGCGTCGCAAGAAGGACGACGACCACGAAGCCGACCGCAAAGATACGGTCCGATCGGTCAAAGTGAAGGATAAGAAGGAGGAAGATCAAGACCCCAATACCAACAAGGAGAATCGCGAAAAGGAGCCGAAACGAGG